CACACACACGGGCAATTACATGAACATCCAGGAGTAAATTTTGAGAAATCACACCATGGAATAAAATGAAAACTTAATGCTTAATGCATCACAAGCAAACCGTGTAATATTAGAGGGATCAGAATTCACTTTGCTTGGGCATGCTCTCCTTAGATTGAGTCAGAGACATCCAACAGTGAGAAGGACCTGAATGATGCCATGTCCCGCCTGGGCACACTGGGACAGGAGATCAGTGCCCTGAAGACCAAACGTGCCAACAACAGCATGGCAGCAGCCCGAGCCGAAGAGACAGCCACCATGGCACGAGACAAGGCAAACGAAGCCAAGCAGGTATGTGTCTGTGTGTGCACACACTCATTTAAAGCGTACACAGCTGTGAACTTTCTTCTGTCTTGATGCTTAGATTCTAGACGGCCAGCTGACAGATAAATACCATGAAGTGCAGCAGCGGGTTGACACAAAGGCCAAGGCTGTGAAGGATGCCAAGAAAAGGGCAGAGAGCCTCAGAGATGAAGCAAAGGAACTACTGAAAGATGCCCAGAACAAGCTCCAGAGACTAGCAGGTGCTTATCTTATCTGTGTGTATGTGTGTGTCTGTGTGTATGTAGACGAAGACATAGACAGGGTTAATGTGTTTACATTTGTTTGGAGGAAGAAAAGTGTGGTTTTATAATTTGAAAGCCAATCCAAATTCCAGAATTAGTCATTGAAACTTTATTTCTATAGCACCTTTAATACAGGTTAGTGCAAAGAAAGCACTCTATAGGTGATTGACAAGTTAATAATAACACATTACATAAATACAATTGTGGAGATTAATGGACAAAAAAGTAGAAATTAACCACACCCACCCGTGAGATAGTTCGGCTCATAGTGTCATTTTTAGTTTTCTGTACAAACAAGAAATAATGTGTTAATTTCTGCACTCCACAGTTGCTGATTTTGTAACATTTTGACAGTCCCCCTGTTTCCAGTTATTGTAACAAACACAGCTAACCAGCTGCTGAAAGTAGCTTCATATTTACCACAGTGTGTGGTATTGATCTTCTCATCTCACTTTTGCCAAGAAATTTCTAGAGAAAGCAAAAGTTCTGGGTTTCTTGCCTGTTCAAGGCACTAACATACATTCAAAAAGAAAAAGCTATGTGTCATTAGCTTAGCTATAGAAAAGGATGGGGGGGAATGGATAAGACTATGCCTTTGGTGTGAGAGACCCGGGTTCAATTCCCCATTGTGACCCATCCACCATTGTGTCCCTGAGCAAGACCCTTAACCCCTAGTTGCTCCAGAGGCGTGCCACCTCTGACATATATAGCAATTGTAAGTTGCTTTGGATAAAAGCGTCAGCTAAATGAATAAATGTAAATGTAATGGTGTGCCTCATGAGGACACCACCCTGTACGTGTACAAATGTAGAAGCCCTAAAATCAGTCCTTGAGGATCCCCACAATTTGACTCAAGAATGACTTACAGTAGCACCACATGCTGAAATTCCTATTTTCCACAGAGCTGGAGAAAAACTATGAGGAGAACCAGAGGAGGTTGGAGGGGAAAGCTCGTCAGCTGGATGGCTTGGAGGACAAAATGAAAGCCATCCTCAATGATATCAACAAACAGATCCAGATCTACAACACATGCCAGTAGCTCACTACTCCATGTCATAAGAAAACAGGTCAATGTGTTGTTCTACCATTTCCTCCAGATACAGTAACTGTACAAGATACTTTGAAGAATACAGTGAAAGAAGATGGCTGGGTTGGTTATTTTTTCACTTAGGTGAATTTGCATATTTGTGGGTAAACTCTTTTATGCAAGTATTTAAATCAGTTACTATCATATTTAGATATTTTAAACACACTCATGACTGAACGTGTAAAGGTTGTCTGATGTCACATATTGTATTTTAATTCTAATTTGTGCACATTATTTTTGTTTTTGCTTTTAAAATAATCTGGAAATGTATCTGTCTAAATCAGATTTGAATATGAAAAATTATTTTAGAAAAGTAAAAAATACACATATTCGGGTGAAAATAATGCTTTGCGAACAGGTCAATCTCACAGTGTCTTCACAACAACCTTTGGGTGCATGAGGACATAAAACAGAATGAAAATCTGTTTAACCATGGTATTTATTTTGGGAATGGTAGTAAAGATATGGTAAAGCCTTAATTATTTTCAAATAAGCCAAAATACAGAGATGAGGGTATAGTCACTAGATCCTGTCCCTATGTAGTTTAAAGGAAATGTTGTTCAGTAGAATAAAGAGATGAACAGGATTTTAAATTGAGGATTTTAAGATAAAAATTCCACCAACTGTGGTGCTAGAAATTTGTCTTTTATTATGTATATTTTGTATTATGCCTTTATACAAATAACAGGGAAATCAATTACATTTTTATGTGACAATGAACTGTGACTCTGCTAAACCAATAACCAGCCCAAAAACCACCTCTGCCTGGAGTAGGAGGATGGCTTTCCACTAAAACCACACAAGAGAAATGCAGGGAGCAGAGTAAGCTAACAGTGTATGCTAGCAGCACGACTGATGCTATATCAGTTGGTCTGTATGTGAACTGTCGTTTAGAACTAATGAAACAAGAAGACATTATGGTCTAGCTAAGAAGCTCAGTCTAACATGTTCTAAATGGTCACTGTACAGAAAACAAACCCTTTTGATTTAGGTAACAAAATGGCATGCCTTCTGGCACCACTCACAGGAAAAAACATAAAAGACTAGTTAGTGATTTTGAGAAACTTATTTTATTTCTTAACGAGAGTTAGACAATATATCACACTTTAGGAGAATTGTGATGCTATAGCCAGCAGCCAGTTAGCTTAGCGTAGCATAAAGACTGGAATCGAGAGGGGGGGCAGAGTAAACAAAAAATATTTATTGTGTTGACTAGTGAACTTTAGGTTTACATTTTGATAAAGTAAGGCTAACTGTTTCCCAGTTTTTAGTCTTTATGCTAAGCTAAGCTAACTCCCTTCTATAACAGACGAATAAGAGTGATATTGATCTTCTCATTAACTCTCCAGAAGAAAGCAAATAATTGTAATTCCTGACATTTTGAATTATTCCTTTTATTCATCACCAGGATTAATTTTTATGAATGCCAAAGCTGTGATGCACAGATTGTGAGTGTTTGTTTATCAAATGTACTATGATAGAATATATAAGCTCTGCTGTAACTGATGCCTCACTGAAGTGACATATAGTACGTGAAGTGTTTAATTGTGCCTTATAATATGCTAGTCTCATGGGCATTTCATGTACTATTTGCATAACAAATTGTGTTTAAGGAAACATAACAAACCAAAAAAATTAACTCTGTACACATATTTCCCTCAGATTATCTACAAACTGGCAGCCATGTGATTTTGATCACTAGTTGCCAAAGCAAAAATACAAAAAGAAGCTTGTGTATATTTTTGTGAATAAAGGTTGGATAACTTAACATTTCTCTATGTTGAAGTATGCTTGATACTTTCCCATTTTCTAACCTTGCTGTCTTGTGGCTGGAATGTGCATGTGTTCACACCAGGGTCTGCAAGGGTGTAAGATATCACATTGCTATTTTTGTGTTGTGCGAAGGTGCTATTGAGCGCTGTTGTGAGTCCTTATCTGCAGACTTTGCAGTCTCTTACCCAATTCTTTCAGCAATGTCTGATCACTGTGAATGGCAGTATGAACAGTATACTACCAAGATGACATGAAAAATCAGGGCCAACACTAGCTCTGAGACCCAGAGTTGGCAGAAGGGAAAGGCTAAATCAAAGAGAAAGCAAAAGTGAAGGAGCTACATCAAAGTTAAAGAAGATCAACACTACGTAATACTTACTAGTTAGTTTGGCTGGTATAGTTTTTGTCTATAAAAGATTCTTGTCTTGTTAAATGAATCATTTTGATAATGCTGGGAAGTGTATTTCACTTTTCTTATTTTAGAATAATAAAAGTTAACTTATCAAGTTATCATTTGCACAATTCAATGATTAGGGTGATGATAACAAACCAGGCTACTTGAACACAGCTGTCTCCACCTTCAATAAATAGATTTTTGTGTGTGTAAGTAAACACTAATGAGGCCAGGGATAAAGTTCAAACATAAATAAACAACTACATAGAAGGCAAACAATATTTCATCAGTGCCATGATAATTTGTGATTTATGTTTGTGATGTTCTACCACAGGACTTATGAAAAGGTAACAACAGCAACAGTGAACACCACAGATCTGCAACATCAGAATCAGAAGGAGCTTTATTGTCAAGTAGTGTTTAACACATCATTTCAGTGCAGACTCAGAAAATGACTCAGGGCCCAGGGTGCCATTTGGGACAAGGTCCCTGTCTAAAAATAGTAGTACTTGATGTATCATGGCCATGGCCCTGTCAACCCCCTCCTTGATCGATTATAAAAAATATCTAGGAATATAGGCCCATATAAAGAGTTGACATATGAGCGCCATTGAATGTTGACTCAGGAGGGCCTGGGATGGTCTTCAGCTGAAGCACAAATTCCCCCAGCTCATTCTGGCCAGAGCTCCAGAAACCGACCAGTATCCTTCCCTGGGTTTGCTGCGTGTTTGTTAGTTTGTGATATTTAATAAATAATACTTAATAAATAAGAAATGTATTGACATACTCCATTTAAGCAAAACAACTACTGATTCATAGGTATTAAAATTAGATTTTTGACAGATGCCCCACCCCCCCAACAAGAGTGATAATCCTATTTTATAGGCCATAGCAAAAGATCAAATTATGTATATTGTTTGCTAACCAAATCATTTATCTCCACTTGGTTTGAATACGGTATGAACTATCAAATGAAGAGTATTGTGTCTGTGTGTTATAAACTGTGTACAAAGATTATATTCTTATACATATTATTTATTATAAACAGTCTCTGGCGTGCGTGTGAGAAAGAGAGAGCAGTAAAGGAAGAGCTACAGATCACGTGAGCACGCCAGCCAGGAAGTGTGTTATGCGCGCATTTCATTTCAGGTTTGGCCCAAGACATCTATGGGTCCGGGAAGCAGTACTGAATTTTGTTCCAAACAAAGTCGGACTTACGCCGCATGACACCAACAGACTGAACCGTTTTTTCATGTGTTATCTTTTCTTTACATCTATGAAACAACTAGTTTAAAGTCACCAGAAATGGGTCCCGGATAAATTAAAGAATATTCCAGAAACAGTGTGGACTAACGTTACGGGAGAAACAGAAGGAGTCGCCTCACACCGGCCATTGTGTATTAGGAACGGAATTCAGTTCTCGCCAAATTGAAGCCCCGTAAGTCCCCAATTTTATTGACATTATTAATTTGGCATTTTAATCACAGGCGGGCGTCGGGTGTCACGAGATGTCATGTTGTGTTGGTTGTGTAAAATCCGTAGTCATATCAACCCTTTCGCGTCGGCTAGCGTTAGCTTGATATGGCTAATGACATTAGCTTCTCGAAGACTGTAGGAGCGCTTGATTGTATTACCTGTCCTGCGCTCTGCTGGAGGACACCGATTGGAGATCGGGTGAAGTGACCGTATAGATAAACGAGAAATATAATATAATAAGTAATGTGGTTGATAATTTCCAGACAGTAAGGCCAAGACAGTTGATTTAGATACAGTAACGTTATATACGTTAGTTTAACCCGATGTGCCGTCCAATAATTGCATAGTCCCACTTCCCAGAGTGGACCAAGTACATTAAAGGAACGTTTCAATGTTATTGACTAAATAGTATTTGCTAAATCCAATAAATTGGTTTGCCCAAAAAAAATCTGGAATATAACGTTAGTTAAACGCTATAGCAAATGTGTAACTTATGCCTCATATCGAAGGGCACATGACAGCCTGAAAAACGTGTGCCTTAAAAATAAACGGTCCTCTGAAGTCGGTTGGCTAAACTGTTACCAAGCTAACAACTCTGGGAACGGGGGCTGCATTGTTAATCCTTCTAGCTAGCTTAATAAACACCACCCATGTTTTTAGTGAATATGCTGTACTTAACGTCGAAAAAATGGCTGATTTAGCTGTTGTCCTTTGTTTGTCATTTGATTGTCCAAGCTAGCAACTTGATGTTGCTATGCTAAGGAAACTAGGCAAGGCTCAACATCGGTCATATGCAAACCTACAGCCATATGCTTATAAGCTTTATAAGACATACTCATGTTTCGTTCAGTGTTGTTGTAGTTAAATGAAACCTGCTCCTAATTAATTTCAAGCAGTGAACCTCTTTCCTTCCCTCCCTCTGTGTTTCTGTGTATTATACAAACATAGCAAAGCAGATTGTCAGGATTGACCTAACCTGAGATGTTTAACTTTACTTAACTTGCACATAGCTCCTATTAATGCCAAACAATTATGAAGAGTACTATTGGTTTCTCCTTGATTAATAAATGCATTTCTGCCCCCTGCCTCAGGTGCCCCATCCCCTTACTATCCTTCCTGATTCTGTTCCGGGAGAGTTCAGACCAGTATCATCGCCAAGATAGCCGGGCCAGGCAGGAAGAGGCACACCTCAGATCCAGACCCCAGCAGTGGTAGTGATTCCAGCGACGGGCGGCCTGTTAGTGCCAAGTGCCTGAAGATGGCCAGCAGCGGTGGTAATGGTGTCGCTGGTAGTGAGACAGTGGGCCATCGTGGTGGGACTCAGCAGAGAGGAGGCAGCGGCAGAGACAACAGCTCAGACCTGACCTCCAGTACCAGCAAGAAGAAGCAGAAGGACAGGGCCAACCAGGAGAGCAGAGAGGCCAAGAGGGCAGCCGCTGCAGCAGTAGATGGGGTTATTGCAGAGGTCAAGAAAGGTAAGCGTTAAGTGTATTGTGCAGCTAATATAACAGTTGTAATTAATTACAAGTGGTAGATTGTCCTGGTAAACTATTATTTCACAAAAATTTGGCTTGCAACGATATGAGGTTTTCACGATTACTGTCTCAGAAAATGTCACGGTATCTGGTATTACGCTATTATTATTATCGTTGTCATCATCAGTTTCAGGGAGCGGAAACTGAAGAGTTTATTGTAATTTCACAAATATTATCTCTTGAAATAGAATGTGAAAGAAATGGAATATCTGAAATGTCCAAAAAAACAAAACAAAACATTATATCCAAGGTACTCACTGTTTCTCACTAATACCTGTTGTGCGTGTCTTAGAGGTCTAACAAACATATTGAATGCATTTCCTTTCTCATAAAACATTTGCTGACCTGATATTTGAATATTTAAATTGTGTATTCATGCATGTTTTAGCTTGCTGTTGAATTCTTCTTCTTCTTCTTTGCCTTTGTTGGTGCATTGCTGTGCTTTGTATGTCACCGCCACCAACTGTTGATCAGCTGATAATCGTGAAACAGATGTCAGTGTAGTGTATTTCGTTGTCTACGTGCGTCGTCGTACACCTGTGTTAGATAAAGTGGTCACTCAGGATAACCACTGGTAGTGCTATGGAGCAATGTTCTAATGAGTGGGGTATTTTGTAACATGCACAAGCACACAGGCAAGGTGATTCTTATTCTCCCATCGTCTGGCTATTCCTCTGATTGATAGTTGGCGGTGGTAATACAGCAATAAACGTCGCAAGAAGCCAACAGAGACAAGGAAGAAATAGACCGCAAGCTAGTACTAGTTACCTACTTGCTGAATAACCAGCTTTACTGCTGTGATATCATGCCGTATTTGCATAGTAAACAAAGTATTGTCACATAAGGTTTGCGTACATTATACAGGTGTAATGTTGTTGTTTTTTTAAGTTATTCACACTAGGGACTTATTCTCACCACTGTTGCTTTTACTTTGTCGTATGTGATTGTAAACAGAATATCTTGTGCTTTTGGACTGTTTGTCATACAGTACAAAACATCATTTTGGTCTTTAGATATTTGTGATTGCATTTTTTAATTTCTTTCTATTTTTTAAATTTTCTGACATTTTAAAGACCAACCGATTAAGATCAAGAAAATAATATTGATGAATATTGTTGTTTGTGGCAGCTTGATAATAGTGTGGTCAAATGTACACCACAAAAACATGCTGCTGGTATAAATGCTAGGCCTATAATTTGGCATCATTATCTGGAAAATGCATTCAGATGGAGATAAGTTTATGGGTCTACTGTGGCTGCACAGTGCCAACCATAAATTCTGTTGTAATTTATTAACGCATTTATGAAATGAATTATTTCACATCTTGATGTGGCAGTTTTTTTTGTTTTTTTTTTCTTTTTTTTTACTTATTTTGATTTGTCAAAATATCATTCACATAACACATTGAAACACAACACTTAGACATTTCGCTTCATTTACTCAGGAAGTGTACTACTCTTTACAAAACAAAACAAAAACTTATTTTCATTGAACACCCCACCAGACACACATTTGACAGAAAGTACATGATTCTTGTTAGATCTCAGTAAATCCCTGCTATACTTTCTTAAATGTCTTTATACAGGTAGAAATTCTATATATAAAAAAAAAGAAGATATACTTTATTTAATCCCGCAGGGGGAAATGTCTTCGCTCTGTTATTATGTTAGTATTTACACACAGGTCTGAAATACACACACCACACACACACACATGCACATGCACAAACAGGACCCATAGCAACACATGGAGAGATGTCAGAGTGAGGCGGCTGCCACTCAGTGCGACGCCCCGAGCAGTTGGGGTTTCAGGGGCTTGCTCAAGGCCTCCTTCGGCAGTGCCCAGGAGATAGCACACCTTTTTTCAGTTTAACAGTTTAAAATGGAAGGAACCGTAGATTGTGTTTTGTCTGACCTGTAGAGTATTATGGGTATTAGCTTCGATAGATTATTTCAACGATTCATCGATGTGTTGTTTAAGAAGTACTTTTGCTTGGCGGCGGCGCCCCCTCCGTTAAACGGGATCAGCTGTGCACGTTTATAGGTGATAGATATTTATTAGTCCTTTCGGAAATTCATAGTGTGTCATACAACAACCAACAACAACCAGCAAGCCGCTTTACAAACACAAACATCACCCGAGAGCTATAAGTTGTACTACAGGCTCGTGCAGACTACGCGACTTTAAGTGTCGGCCGATGGCCGTGCCGTTCACACAACTTGCCGTCATATGACGGCAGTCTTGAAGTCGTTGTGGCGTTCACACTACGTGACTGATTGGTGACAGGGACACACACACTACAGGAGCTGACAGCGTCCCTGTCACCCAATGCAGGTCTCCAAACCAGGTTTTGTCAAGAAAACACATGTGAAATGTGAAACGGGAAATGAGCGATCCCACACGAAACAGCTGTTTGTTATTATAAAGATGGCAATTATAAAGACAAAGATTCTGGGTTAAGGATGGATTAGCACACACAGGTAGCAGCGATTGTCTGAGCTACAGAGAGAGCTGCAGGGGAGTTAAAAGGTGCAGCTCCCGACACCCACTTAACTTGTGACTATTAGGTCATAACTCACGGCCCAAGAACAGCAAACGCACGTGTGCACATTTTCAGCTGCGGCTTACTTTGGCTAGCCTTCAACTCAACAATCAATCAGGATTTCAGTTAATTGCTAAAGTTGCAGTTAGTGTTACCTAGGCCTGGGCGAAAAATCGATTGAATGAATTAATTCGAATTTTTTGTTGCGGGCGATTTAAAAAATAAGTAAATCGAGTTTTTGTGTAATAGCACATTTTTGGCTCCCCGGGGTTTCCGTAGTGTTCGTTTCCCATAGCGACAACATCATACACTAAACAGCAACAGCAAGCGACAAAATGGCTACCGGTGAGAGCGGGAAGTTTGTTCCCAAGAAAGGAATAAAGTCATCTGTTGTTTGGAACTGGTATGGGTTTGCTGCGACAGATGTGGAACAACAGACACCACGCTGCAACATTTGCCTAAAGCCTATCGCAGTGAAAGGCAGCAGCACCACAAACCTATTCCAACACCTGAAACAGAGACATCCAGCCGAATATGAAAAATGCCAGTCTCTCCGCGATGAACAAAGCCGCACTGACCAACAAACCTTATTGCTTTCCTTAAGTAGGGGGGGAAATCGGAAAAAATCGTAAATTGAATTAAAGTAAATAAAATCGGAGATTTTATTTTTAGGCCATATCGCCCAGCCCTAGTGTTACCTTGTCTGGTCCGCTGGCAGAACACCTTTTTGTTCAGCTTGAAGTTTCGTTTTACGGTGGACGGACGGTAACATTACAGAGTTGTTGTTGTTTTCTTTAGCTTGAAATAATCCCATATCTTGGACACTTTCTTCTTTGTACCTCGCTATTTTCTCTCTCTTCCTCCACTTTGCAAACAGCTCCATCATAATCACGTCGTGTTCACAGCGTAAGCGCGACAGTAATAAATGTCCCTGCGAAAAACTGTGCTGTATAGGTGCATGGATTAAACTAAGCATTGATGCAAAAAATTTGTGTCGAAGCATTTTATTAATCGATTTTATCGTTAAATCGTTTCAGCCCAAATTAATTTGTTCTGCATAATCCTTGAACTTTAAATTTGAATTGTGGTTTCCCTTTGTTTAAGGTATGTCCTTTTATTTACACTCTCAAATCTTAGGTCCTTAGTAGGAAAATATTAGAGACGCACGATAGAGACGCATTTTTCCTGGCCAGTTCCGATGACCAATTGTTTTTAAAAGTCTGTCCAACTGATTCACGATTTTGGCGGATTCTGATTTTCTTTCTTCCGGTCCGCAGCCGATCAATTGGTGCATCTCTAGAAAAAATCTGCTTGCTACCTCAGGTAGGTCTTCAAATGATAAACAACCTCACTCACTTGTCCTTTATTTGTCTCGCACAGGAATCATTCCACTGTCATGAAAGCATTTTAAATGACTTAATTACTCAGAACTGTAAGTGAGTTGCTTCATGTGATGGATTTGCCTGACAAGTCTATATGCAGTGAAGATACAAGGAATTAAAACAATGCAAAGAAGCTATACTTTCATTATTTTGCCACAGAACTGATTTCTTAAATGTTGAGTATCTGCCAACACCAACTACCTGTCTGGTGTTGTTAAATTGACTGTAGTGTTTTAACACCTTTAAAGTAAAGCTCAGATCAACCCAGTATGTGGTTATCACAGGTGTGACAAAGGTCAGGTGTGAACTATAACAGCTACAGCTTTCATTTAGCCCAATATTGTCCAGAAATGACATACCTAGATATACGCGTTTCATAAAGCCTTATTTGTCTTTGGTAAACATCATGTGGAAATGGCCCTCTAATTAAAAACAGAACTCAAGTACGGCTGACGCGCTGCTCCATGTGGTGAGAAATCTGTAGTGTATTTAGTGTGAAGTAATGGTGGCAATATGACAAGGAATCTGTTGTAGCTACCTGCACCATATGCCACTTGGCACACTTGGGCATAGGTGGCAGGCAAATAGTTGTCATTGCTTTCACAATATGCTTTTTTTTTAATACTGGAGATTTGGTACTTCTCTCATCCATATGTGGTGTGATGCTTCTAATAGGATTTGAAGTGTAATTGATGAGGCTGGAAAAAGACCCAAGCCAATATGATCGTGTTAAAATGCTTTTATGTAATTGTTGAGCCTACTCTAATGAGGCTGTAATTTGATTTGGCTGTGAACTGGGCTTTGGCCAATCCACATCTTCCTGCCACAACGGTTCCAATGTCCTATCCCCACATATTATACAGAACACAATTTGAAACTGTACCAAAAAAAGTAGGAAACAATTAAAGTAAATCTCCTAAGTGGCCATGAAGATCAAAGTATTTAATTTGTGCTAAAAATATGTTCATATCATGAATGTCAGTGATATTTTACCCGGTCATGAGAGTACGCTGTGGCGTGGCTCCACTGGGAATACAGCTGTCACCAGCTGGAAGGGATTGGGTGTTGCTTGTGACCTTTTGAAAAGCCATTTAGTTAAAGAGACGGGGTTGACATAAAGTGAAGAAGTGGAGGTGGGAAAGTTGAGACTCTCTAGTTTTTGTTGTTGAAGACTAAGATAATGGAAATATGACAGTGGGTATAATCCATACATGACTTTGTTGCCAGCAGGGAATCCAGCGCTCGCTGTACTTCTGGGATGATATTTTATTTTCAGTCACTGCAACAACTTTGAGGTCACTATGACAAATGGTACATGTTGGTTTTCTTTTTCTTGTTGGGATATTTTTGTCAAACATTTCTGCTCTTGATTCTACCTTTTTAAAATTGTGTAAATATCTTGCTAGCATGTTTTCTAAAGTAAGTTGATCATTTGCTTTCACGCTATTGTTTACTGGGTATACAGTTTGTGGCGCAGATAATTTTAGATGTCCCGTCTGACTGTTGAGTTCACTGTACTCTGTGAATTTGTGAGCAGGTGCATTTCAACATGTGCGTCTATATTTTCTCAGGGTAGCAGAGATGCAGTGTGTTCACCACTGTCTTACTTTAAAGCATTCTGCTGTGGTGCTCTGCATGTTTTCATTTTTTAAAATGTATATATTTGCTAGATGGGATTGTCTGCTTTCTCTCGTCTCATCTTTGAAAATTACAAGAGAGAAGAGTGTCAATTTTGCTTAGGCCTGTGACGTACATTTCTGAATGACTTGTAATGATCATGGTGGGAAAAGGTTCTCTGGTTTCACATCTATCTGACCTGTGTGTACATTCCTTTTGTGTTTTTCAGATGTGTTTGTGGACTGGAAGCAGAATGTCAATGAAGTGACAGTCAGACTACGCTGTGGGGAGGGGGTGCAAAGGATAGAGGATATCGGCACAACCTTCACTGATACACACTGCCATGTGTGCTTCCCAGGTAAGTCATAGTAAAGCGTGTACCATTACCAGAAACTGTACAGTAGAGTGTACATGTAAAGATTAATAGCCGATTCCCAAATAGCTGCCTACCCCGTTTACTGGGCCTGGTGTGGGAACACATTTTGACAAATAAATACAAGTCTCCATTAAACGCCTGGTCTGATTTTTATATAAGTTCTTTGGATGTATAAAACCTCATAAATCCTGCCTGGTCGGCTGCTTTAGCTGCTTCTAAGCTGCCAAGATCGTCAATACAAATATTTATGGGGGTTAAGTCCGAATGTGTCCGTTCCTTGATTATTTATCTTCCTTTACCGGTCCACCGATCATAAGAACAGGTTTATCTGTAAATGAATCCAAGTTGTAAATCCTGTCGTATGAAGTCGATCGCTCTCTGTCTGCTTTTTCTGCCACACTTCCTGCACCTGTTGTTTTCGTTACGTTGCTGCCTACAAAATAAAAGTGCATATGCCGTCTGTCGGCGCTGGAGCATATGAATGTTGTGTATTTGATATTATTTGATAATTTTTATCCAAGTAATATTCTGTTTGAAATAAATAAACTGTTTCATAGTTGCCTATTTTAGTTTTGTGCAAGAGGAATTAAAAGCCTGTCCCATATGGACGCCTGTCCCAAATATAGGCAGGGTCAATTCAGGGATTTTAGCAAATAAAAGCCCGGCCTATTAATCAAAGTTTTACGGTACTATTAAAATAGCAAAGTTGTGCATTTGGATTTAGGCCTTGTTAAACTTTGGACCCGTCTCAAGAGTTTGTATAACCACGTGTGTGTGTAATTTAAACATGCTGTATGTTTTCAAATTGTTGTCTGACTCTTTTATATTTTCAGATGGACGGCAGTGGAGCTGCCAATTGCAGGAGGAAATTGAAGCCTCCTGTAGCAGAGTCCAGTACAAGGAGAAGGGGGGTTTCCTGCATGTCATCATGCAGAAGAAGATTCCTTTTCACATTTGGCCTTCGCTTAAGGTGAGTCATGTGAGATAAAATAATTTTTAGTTTGTCCACCCATGAGTACATTTGTGTCTTGTTTTTATTTGCACTAATAAACATAGTATTTTTGCACAATATTTTATTAGTTCATACAAATGTTTAATTGAGTGAGTGGAATTTACACTGTAAAAAGACACGTCTGCATTTGATTAAATAATAAAATGGTTTTACTTCTGTACACTCTGCTTCAGTCAAATAAGAAGGAGAAGGAAGCAGTACCCACAGAGACCAAAAATGACAAGGAGCTGGAGATGAAGCCTGTTGTCTTGGAGTCATCAGAGAAACCCAAACTGCAGCCTCAACTGCAGCCACAGCCTCCCTCCTCACCTGCTCGCAGCGAATCAAGACGCAGCGGTGGCAAAGCTGAGCGAGGTGTCAAGCGCTGCCTGAAAAATAAACCAGCGTGTGACAAGGCCACTACGGACTCTGTAGGGGTGAAAGCTGGATCTGGAGATGGCTCAGCCACCACCAGTAAGCCTGTTACAGTTACTGGAGGCGAGCGGCAGCCTCAGGAACCCAGTGCCAAGCGCACTATTGTACGGCTGCCTAAGCCCACCAAGGAGGCTACGTTACCGGCCGACAGGGACTCTGTCAAGTCTACAGTAGCCAATGGTAAAGCTCCACACACACACCTGTCCGCTGGTCGGAGTCTGCAGACGCAACGCAGAGATGGAGACAACAGAGCAGAGAGACTAGGCAGTGGTCAGGAACAGAAACCAGAAGCTGCGGTTACTGCTGCCAGCCAAACCAACAAAACTCAGGTGAGAAAAGTTGCTTCTTAGAACGCTCCAACTGGGTTGCTTTCATTTAGAATTTAAAAATGTATTTATTGTTTACATGAAAAAGATGACTTAGCTGTTGCTTATTTGTTGTTTCAGTACACTGAATTAGAGAAGCTAAAGTTAGCTTAAGCAGAGCTGTAACATTAGGGGTTTTCAGTCTGATACTGAATATTGCATTACTGCAACTCAATGGTTTTCAATTAACTCACGTTTGAGAAGATGGAGCCAGAGAATTGCTGGCATTTGTTTTACAAACTGACTGGAATGATCAATTGTTTATTAAAATGGTTGCGGATTATCTGTCCATTGACTAATGGGTTAATTGATTAAGGAGCGTTTTAGCTCTAAAATTGTTAGATGTTGTTACCCCAACTATGTACCTTTTTATCAATAAATATGTTGTGATAATATATATGATATAAAAATTTAAATAATTAGTATACCACAAATGTAATATGTTAATAAATGTGGGCTTAACTGGTCAACTTTAAAATTTTACTTAGAAGTAGACTTTTCTCAGACTGACTGGCTCGAACTATTTGAGAACCTCAACAAAAAGCATCTGCATTATTTGATGCTGTTCCTTTAGAAACAAGGATAATTTGATTATGCTCGGAATAAACATCTAGTTTATCACCCTACCGAAGTACTACCTCTGCAAATTAACTCGTGCTTGCTGGTTGTAAACCTGTGTCCAGTTTTATGTTTTGTTCACACAACAGCTTGCCTGATGAAGAGGAGTGAACAAGACAGGAGATAACTGCTCTGTCTGATGTGTGTTGTGTAGAGAGTTGTCTTTACAGCATCTAGTGTCAAAAGGGTCAACTTTGCGGTACGGCTGGCCGAGGTGAATTTTATTTTCCATTAAGATCTTGGCTTCCAACATTATAAAAACAAACATTTTAGGATGGGCTAAATGCAGAGAATGAATTTCCCGGCGGGGATCAATAAAGGATTACTCGGTGCAACCTTTCCTTTAAAGTGGTGCACTTTTGCATCTCCTTAAAACTTCAAATTCACTGTCATGAATTGGCATGTTTAATTCAGGCATGTTTAATTCAGGTATGTAACAGTACTTGGAGAGACCAAACAGGACAAGTGTCACATTTCAGCAATTCTTAAAAATGACATTATAATACACATCATACATCAAATAAGTAATAATTATTATAATACTTATAATATAATAATATAATAATATATTACTTTTTTATTTTATTTGTTAAAGTTAAGGTGATCTATTATGCTTTTCCATATTAACAATGTTACAATGTCGGCTGTTCATGTCAAATGTGGCCAAAGCAAAGAGACAGGAACCTTCGTCATCGTTTTGTTTCTTGCTTGTCAGCAAGCCTTCGTCCATAATTTTGTGATCTCCCAACTTTGGCTCCATTTTTTGTCCTTCCGGTAACAAAAGCAGAGACCCTCTCCTGTCCCCACACACCCACAACAGTCCCCATGGTGTGGAGTGGAGGGACACTGCAGCAGTCAGCCAGCGTTTGGCACAGGGGGGAAGGAGGAAAGGTGGAAGGGGATTTACACTGAGAGCCAAGGAACGGTTTTCATCTAATTTTACTTCTATACGCCAGCGATGGACAAGTCCTTCAACGAATACAAGCTTTGTTGCAAAGCTACCAAACAAGAGTCAAAGAACTACAATACAGGGCTGGAAATGCAGTTAAATAGGTCTCCATTAATGGAAATCCACTGTTAAAAAGGCAGTGGTCAATAAAAGCATTATGTTTCCAAAGTCAGTGCAAAATCATGTTAAATGACTGTGAACTCAATATTGCCCAAAATAATCAAGATTATGACTTTTGCCATAATCGAGCAACCATACCTACAGAATTAACGTTTACTGTCCTGTACGTGGCCTTTGTTTGAACTGGAATCAAGTTGCCAGCTTTCTTTTTCATAACTGCAGTGATGAGAGGGAGAAAGGGAGTTGTGGGAACCTTGCCAAAGGTGAAGAATCCATTGCTCATAGATAGTTATACTTGTCTCCAGTGTCTCCAGTGACCTAGCAAGTGCACATTCTTCTCTGGATGTTTGTAGAAAAAATGTCTTGTGTCTTTTCTGATTCAGGATGCGGAGAAGCAAAACCAGTCTGGAGCAACAGCACATGGCAATGATAGCCAACCAGCAGCTCCCGTCAGCACCGCTGAATGCCTCAAAGCTGTCTGCTTCAACAACGAAGTGGACTCTTCTCCAGAAACGCTGCGAGATAGAACTGACTCTGAGCCACAGAAAAGGCCTGCTGAGCAGGAATCGGAGCCGGATACTCTGATCCGCCAGCATCTTGGATCAGGAGAGGCAGGTTTAATACCAGCTGTTGGCGTGGCTGCCAAACAAGGCCAGTCACCCGGTGTAGCCCAGAGGCAGGGCAGCTGCGACGGAGAGGAGAAGCAGGACCAGTCGAAGGAGGAGCCTCCTCTGGAAATGAAGCAACAGGAAGGTTAGTTAATAAGGTTTTGCAAAGGGGTTGGACTATCATACATGTGTTTGTGTTATTAACTGACTCTAAACTAGGGCTGAAATGATTTGATTTACTAAAAAGCATTGGCCACCAAGCAAAAGTACTTCTTAAACGATGCATCAAGGAATCGATGGAATAGTCTATAGAAGCTTTGAGTACTAAAATCATCGTTAGCTGCAGACCTACTCTAAACCAACTGCTTTCCAATTGATTTATATTAGTAGAATCTTTCTACACCTACATTGACACATCTATATATAAACAAAGTATGGAGATAGTTGAGCAATAACAAAGTACTGTACAGACACAGTCAGGTTTGTTGTTCTTCAGTTTATCAGCACTAATTCATTTGGCAGTTTAATGTGAGTTGTTGATACCTGTGATCACTTCCTGTAGCCCCAGAGCCGATGGTTAACCTGCAGTTTGTGAAGAATGATTCGTACGAGAAGGGCACGGACCTGATGGTGGTTAATGTTTACATGAAGGGGATCTGCAGGGACACGGCCAGGGTCATCTTCAGGGAACAGGACTTCACCCTCATCTTCCAGACGAGGTAGTCAATGCGAAGATGCTACAAATAAAGGATAGTTGTGTGATTTCTGCGTGCTGTAATGTCTTTGGACAACAACTGGTGAGTGATCTTTCTGTCATTCTTTTACAGTGATGCTAACTTTCTGCGGCTTCATTCAGAATGCGGGCCAAACACAGTCTTCAAGTGGCAAGTCAAACTCAGGTAACTGTTGCAGTCACTGTTACCAGTTATGTGTGGCTCTAAATGTTTTTCATATTGAAAAACTTCATTCAATTATTAAACGGGCATTTAAAGGCAGCTGAGATGATATGTTTCCCTGTGACGGCCAGATGGCTTTGATAGCAGAAAAAAAAAAAAAAAAATAGATAGCGGCTGGTGCTGAAATAGATATCAGTCAGTCAGTTACTCACACAATCACTTCCTCGTTATGTTGCTTCATGTTGAGTTTATTGAAAGCTTTTACTTTGAAGAGTTCTGAAGGACATTCAAAAGAGTCTCTGGCTTGCTTGACACATTTGTGGGAAGAATGTAGAAAGTTGCGTGGCGCTGCGGAGAGCCCCCAGTTGCAGTATTAATATTCATCCAGCCAACGATCACGAACTGTTCACAGTCTGCACCAGATAGGGAGTGGGGCGGACCAGGGACAGGAGAGCGCGCAGTGACCAGCTAGCTGCGGTCGGTCAGTGATTGATTCCTCTGGCGGGATGAAGTCTGACGCTCCGCATGATCCATGATAAGATTAATGTCAATAAAGCATGCTGTCAATATTTTAGAGACCCCACAAAATATCACAAATCATGCTTTTAGGGGGAGCTAAGTTCCCCCTGGCTCCCCCGTAGTACGCACCCTGAATTTCCTCAGGGAAATGAATATAAGCGTCCATAGGTTTACGAATGTGGATCAAACGCCGGGCGCACACACACTGTAGCACGTGCCTTATTGTGAGCATGTGCAAAAGTGTCCTTATAATCAAGTAATAAGGGGGAAAAAATATACGCAGTTATTTGGAATTCCTAACAGGAGTCCCCCACAGTACCTACTGAGCTAAACACGCACAGGAGCATACAAGGATTTGAAATAATTTGACTTTTGGGCCAATGCCTGACTTATTTACTGACCCCTGGCATAAATGTTATTTTCTTTTGTCCTGTGTCATATTACTGAAGTACTCATGAAAGATTCATGAAGCATCAGTTGCTTTTCAAAATCAAATCACAACAGTCTTAATTTTCAACAGTGGATACAAATTCTTGTTAAAGGAGCAGCTTTTAATATCTGATCATTCCCATTATATAAGATAATCAAGGTAGTTGGCATCCTTTGTGTCATCATTGAAATGATTAATATGTCTTTCAAACATTCAGTATGTTAGAATGATGAAGATCACCCTCAAACTTTAGTGAGGAAAACACTAATAACAGATTGTTGGTGAGCTGCAGCCTCCTTTTTGTCTTTTAATCTGAACGGTCTACTTTTCTGTCCCCCGTGCAACAGGAACCTGATCCAGCCTGAGCAGTGCAGCTACTCTTTCACCCCGTCCAGACTGGACATCATCCTGAAGAAGAGACACAGCCAGCGCTGGGGGGGTCTAGAGGCCCCTGCCACACAAGGTTCAATTCAATTCAATTCAGTTTTATTTATATAGTGCCAATTCATAACAGAAGTTATCTCATTGCGCTTTTCATATAGAGCATCTAGACCGTACTCTTTGTAATGTTTTTTTACAGACCCAACAACCCACATTGTGAATAAGCACTTGATGACAGTGGAAAGGAAAAACTACCTCTTACAAATAATAAAAAGATTAATAATAATAATAACTGTAGCAGCGGGTGGCTTTCCACCATAAATCCAGACTCTACTGCTCCAGATGCAGAAAGCCACGGGTGGAGAGAAACAAGAAAGCACAAAACTACGAGAGAGGGAGGAAATGAAGTCTGATGGTCAAAGTTGTGCATTAATGTGATAGGAAAACATAGAGAGGGAGAGGAAGAGGAGAGTGTAGCTAAGTGCATCATGGGAAGTCTCCCAGCAGTCTAGGCCTACAGCACAACTAAGGGATGGTTCTGGGCTCACCTGAGCCAGTGTTAACTATAAGCTCTTTAACATATGATGGTGCCTGATCGTTAAGAGCTTTGTAGGTGAGGAGAATGATTTTAAATTCCATTCTCGATTTTACAGGGAGCCAGTGCAGAGAAGCTAATACAAGAGCAATATGATCTCTTTTCCTAGTTCGTAATAGTATACAGTGGGTACGGAAAGTATTCAGACCCCTTTAAATTTTTCACTCTTTGTTTCATTGCAGCCATTTTCCAAAAATCAAACAGAAATGTAGAAATTTTTGCAAATTTATTAAAAAACTGAAATATCACATGGTCATAAGTATTCAGACCCTTTGCTCAGTATTTAGTAGAAGCACCCTTTTGATCTAATACAGCCATGAGTCGTTTTGGGAAAGATGCAACAAGTTTTTCACATCTGGATTTGGGTATCCTCTGCCATTCCTCCTTGCAGATCCTCTCCAGTTCTGTCAGGTTGGATGGTAAACGTTGGTGGACAGCCATTTTCAGGTCTCTCCAGAGATGCTCAATTGGGTTTAAGTCAGGGCTCTGGCTGGGCCATTCAAGAACAGCCACGGAGTTGTTGTGAAGCCACTCCTTCGTTATTTTAGCGGTGTGCTTAGGGTCATTGTCTTGTTGGAAGGTAAACCTTCGGCCCAGTCTGAGGTCCAGAGCACTCTGGAAAAGGTTTTCGTCCAGGATATCCCTGTACTTGGCCGCATTCATCTTTCCCTTCGATTGCAACCAGTCGTCCTGTCCCTGCAGCTGAAAAACACCCCCACAGCATGATGCTGCCACCACCATGCTTCACTGTTGAGACTGTATTGGACAGGTGATGAGCAGTGCCTGGTTTTCTCGACACATACTGCTTAGAATTAAGGCCAAAAAGTTCTATCCTGGTCTCATCAGACCAGAGGATCTTATTTATCACCATCTTGGAGTCCTTCAGGTGTTTTTTAGCAAACTCCATGCGGGCTTTCATGTGTCTTGCACTGAGGAGAGGCTTCCGTCGGGCCACTCTGCCATAAAGCCCCGACTGGTGGATTGCTGCAGTGATGGTTGACTTACTACAACTTTCTCCCATCTCCCGACTGCATCTCTGGAGCTCAGCCACAGTGACCTTTGGGTTCTTCTTTACCTCTCTCACCAAGGCTCTTCTCCCCCGATAGCTCAGTTTGGCCGGACGGCCAGCTCTAGGAAGGGTTCTGGTCGTCCCAAACGTCTTCCATTTGAGGATTATGGAGGCCACTGTGCTCTTAGGAACCTTAAGTGCAGCAGAAATTTTTTTGTAACCTTGGCCAGATCTGTGCCTTGCCACAATTCTGTCTCTGAGCTCTTCAGGCAGTTCCTTTGACCTCATGATTCTCATTTGCTCTGACATGCACTGTGAGCTGTAAGGTCTTATATAGACAGGTGTGTGGCTTTCCTAATCAAGTCCAATCAGTATAATCAAACACAGCTGGACTCAAATGAAGGCGTAGAACCATCTCAAGGATGATCAGAAGAAATCGACAGCACCTGAGTTAAATATGAGTGTCACGGCAAAGGGTCTGAATACTTATGACCATGTGATATTTCAGTTTTTCTTTTTTAATAAATTTGCAAAAATTTCTACATTTCTGTTTTTTTCTGTCAAGATGGGGTGCTGAGTGTACATTACTGAGAAATAAAATGAACTTTTTTGATTATTGGAAAATGGCTGCAATGAAACAAAGAGTGAAAAATTTAAAGGGGTCTGAATACTTTCCGTACCCACTGTATATTCCGCAGCATTCTGGATCAAGGTGTGCTGCCGGACTTCTCCTTGATAACGTGTGTGGGTGTAAGTTTTTGATGTTGCATGTGTGGTGAAATGATCTTGTTGTAACATTCAAGGTCAGAGACAACACATATAAAACTTCTCAAATCTTCTTTATATCTATTTAAAACTATCTTTAAAAAATATACTTTCCATACATACAAAATCTGCAATTTTTCTATATATGTCTGTGCTTTTGGGAACTCATGTTGCCCTTGAAGCCCATGAAATTGGTTAAATTCATAGAAGATTTTGGTAACTGTTTATTTTATGGGTTTATAATATCTAAATAACTTCCTAGTAATTCCCTTAGCTTGTAATTACAGGGGAAATTGAGACAATGTTCAATCGATACACACGTCAGCTGAGCAAGCTTACAGATACAAGCATACACATAATTTAATATAGTATAGTAGTAAGTTCCATTATTAAATTACTAGTGAATATATATTTATTTGGGTGCGGAAGCCCTAAGCAGCCATCGACTCAAATGTTTATTTTTGTTCAGTTGGTAGAGCGCAAGCTTCATAGTCATATGGTTGCATGTTTGATCCTCACTGAACACCAAATTTTTCTTCTATTTTTTTTTTTTATAATCCTCGTCAAAAAAGTTCATATGAAGAGACTGTTTCTGTGCTCACAATAAAACATATGCTGGACTGTGTGCATCGTGGCGATTGGTCCACATCCATCAACCTATGGACTTTCCCCATCATTTCCAGGCAGAGAAAATTCCTATTTGTCATTCAGAGGAATACGTTTAACTTAACACATTTCCTGACGGCTATTTCGGAAGTTTCTTAATAGCCGTCAGGAAATGTTGAAGGAAGTGCTTCTAATATCTGCAGGGCTTAAAGCAAGAAATCTTTCTGTGCCTGAAATGTGTTCGGGGTTTACGACAAAGATAGAGGGTTTGGGGCAAGAGTGTAACTTTTTGTTGAAAAGGGTTAGGGTTACATAGGGACTCAGATTAGGGTTGTGACATACACTTAGCTCACTAAACATGAAGAAACACAAATTTGGGTTCACAAGAAGAAGACGAGAAGATAATTGTACACTGGTTTGATAAAACGTTCAATGCGGAAATATATGATGGGGGTCAGGGGGTCCTCCCCCAGAAGATTTTGAGCATTAAACAGTTCATTTCCTGCATTGTGGTAACATTTTCTGCCACCACCTATAATTAGTGCTGAAAGTGGAAAATATAGGCACTGGTAGTTAGTGCTGGGCAATACGGCCGAAAATGTTTCATGTCACATCATTCAATGTGGACTATTCTTATGATAAATGTCAAATCATTATAAGGCAGATTTTTGCTCCTGAGTGAAAGTTGAAGAAACCAGATGGTTAATTGTTGTTTTAAACTGTTTTTATGGTCAGAACAAACACTTAATGCCAAACAGTGGATCCATTGTGTCCCATATGTTCATTTATTTGTGGCAGCCTGCCACAATATCAACACTGACCGCCACACATTGATATTCGATATTTTAATTTTTTTTACTAGGCCTATTTAAAATTGTATTTGATGTGGGACGCCGTCGGACGCCCAGCTTAAAAAAAAGTTATTAGCAAGCACGTAAGGAGCCTAGCAAATAAGAAGAGCAAAGTTAACGTTAGAGTACAGCTGAGTTGTCGAGGTTAGCATGTTGTTTATAGCTGGTGCCTCAGTTACACAGTCATTCTGTGGGAAACACTGGGATCACTTAACAAATCTGAGGTAAAACAGTCAAAACAATTATGACTAAGTAAATTTCAATTAAGTAATCTTTTTTTCAGTCCCTTTTCCTCAACAAATTAAAGTGCTGATTTGTTTGTGATTCAAATGAATTAAGTCAAACACTTATTAAACATTTGTTATATTGTTATTGAGGAAAATTATATTGCAATAATTATCATTAGTGTTTTATAGCCCAGCCGTGCTGGTACTCCCCATTCCCATGGGGGCTCACGGCTGCATGAAAGGCACGGAGCTTCTACCTGCTCTATCTCCGACGACAGAGATTAGCAAACAAGCGAGAATGAGACAGATGAGCGCCACATAGAGCCCACCAGTACGCAAGTACAATGTAGAAGTAACTTACTGGTAGCGGTGGCCCACTTCAAGCACTGCCTATTATCAAAATTGACACCACTTATCTGTGAAGCCGTACTCCAACGGTGGATTACATTCCACAAAAATGGCCTTGGCACGTTGGCAAAGGTCCAGACGATGCAATCCATTTTAATATTTAGTCCAAAACGCATTATTATAACAATAAATACACACGGACTGCTATTGCGTTGCTTTATATCAGCCTAACTACAGCTAGCATGTAAACAAAAAACACGTCTACACGTTGACCTTTTGAGTGACACCATATTTGACCCAATAGAAACTTCCATGTCCTGTCCACAGCCTACAATAGCCAATGAGTGTCCACATAGCCAGGAAGTGCTACACACACACACACTCACACACAATGCAAGAATATTGTCCACAGACATATTTATATATTGTCGAATACAGAAACGCCTCTCGCCGGTATCAGCACAGCGCCGGAGAACTTTAAGCCCTGTATCTGAAATATACGTCGACTGTATTTAAGTTACATTGCTGATGTTTGAAGTGTTGGAGTTTAGCAAATCAAAATGGCAAACTTACAAGACTTTGCTTCAGTTTACCATCTCCAGGAACCTCTTTCAATACTACACAGTGTGTACTGATAAATTTACAAATTAATATGTCCCATAGATCTAACGAGCTTACACTCCACATTGCATTCCCTCGGATACTCAGCGAGACACCACCCAAGTGTGAGGCTGATCTGATGGACAAGACAGTCCTTACCTTATAGTTAGAAGATTGTCAAGTAAATGCTATAGGTTATACACTACAATTTATAACTATTTATGTCCATTACTGTCCAGCTTCTTGTTGACCTTTATCTTCTAACCACAAGCTTCATTCTCCTCTGTTTAAGGTGCAGTGGGTGGCGCCAAGGTCGCTGTACCCTCCAGCCCTACCTGCATGGAAAAGAGCCAGCCAGGCAGCAGCCAGCATAGCCTCCCAGCTAAAGAAGAGCCTCCAAGGGTCGGGGAGGAGAAACCCAAGGCCTCCAAGACCTCTTCTAGAGTGGAGGATGGCGGTCTGGACACCGTAGCTTCTCGCACTGTCTCTGAGCATGTTGCCATCACCAAGCCAGAGCCCTCTGTTACCACGGTGAGTAGAAAGATGAATAATGTATGTGTTCCCACAGAAAGCAAAGCAAATTTTTGCCTCGCTTTTCGTGAGTGACGCAAGTAAACACAACCCGCCAACATTTAATCTGTTTGCAGTGATATGAACCGAAAATCAACATTTTGCTGTGATTCATTTGCAATGAGCGGATCAAGACAATGCAGAAATGACTACATCATGATGCCGATGTGTTAACATATAAATTCATGCTTTGTCAGGTTTGTCCGCAAGATGATAAACTTTTTAATATGCTTGCTTTCTAAAGTACAACCAGTAGCTCGAATCAAGTAACAGACACACATTTTCATAATTTACCAGGTAGTTTAACGTCCTCGCTTACTTTTCTCTGTTTAAATATGAAGTGGTATCATGGAGCTCTGGTTGCCCACAGAGGTTTACTAAAACGACAGTGGAGGTCAGTGGAGGAAACAGGTGGCTTGCTGCAGAGAAGTGAGAGTGAAGATAAATCTACTTTTTAATCCCAAAAGTAAAAAAAAACAACAATTTACTCTTAGCTTAACTCTTATTCAAGTTGCGAAAATTTGCGTCATTGCATTAATTTTAGATGTAATTGCACAGTAAGAATAGAAAGGTGAGAAAAGAAGAGATATTGATAATATAAACTTGAGGTTTGGATGGTTGTTGAACCAAACTAATTTTAAAAAAATGCTATATTGCTATTACTAATTGCTATAAGGCAGAAGTGAAGATGCATATGATGTTGGTCTAATTTGTGGAATCGGTGTGTAAATCTTTCCTGTCTCAGCCTAAACCCACCTGCATGGTGCAGCCCATGACTCATGCACCTCCTGCCAGCAATGAGCGTCATGAAGAAGAGGAGGAGAAGAAGGTCTGCCTGCCTGGTTTTACAGGATTGGTCAACCTCGGCAACACCTGCTTCATGAATAGTGTCATCCAGTCCCTGTCCAACACCAGAGAACTCAGGGATTACTTCCATGGTAAATAGTATCTAGTTTGCTTCAGCCTGAACCATAACAAAATAAATTATTGTCGGTATATTTAATTGCCATTCTTAAGAAAAGCTCTTCATGTCAACCAAATGCATCATTTATCATACAACTTTATACTGCTGTTAAAGACCAGTAATGTTGTGTTGCCAAGAAATATTTATAATGGTGTGTTTAGTGGTGCTTGGGTACACAGATAATGATATGATAATTATTGCCCAAAAAATTCCCACAGGGGCACATTTAACGAGGACTCTGCAACTTCAAGTAGTTTTATCTGCATAAGCTATTTATACTGTAGTTTCTGCAGTTCAAGCATTCAAAACATTGAAATAATTGCTGTAAAATCTAGGTCACCTAGTTCTTCTGTATTTAACCAAAGTATTTTTTTTTTTTACATTAATTATAGCAATAACCAACAGCAAACGCAACTCTGTGGCCTGCACATGTAAAATGTTTTAAAACAAATGAAAGGTTTACCTAATGTATTTTCATGACTGTGTTTTAATCGTGTTTAAAGACACGTGTACTGTTTCCATCCGCATCCACATGAAGTAGTTCCAAGATTATTTTGGTAACGTTTTACCACGATGATTTTCCATGTGTCCCCGCTTGTGCCTGTGTCTAAGCTCCCAGTGACTTCTGTGGTTGATGTCTGGTTCCATTATGTCATCCCTGGATTTTCTGTGACCCTGCAGATCGAGCATTTGAGGCAGAAATCAACTGCAGTAACCCACTGGGAACAGGAGGCAGGCTAGCCATTGGTTTTGCTGTGCTGCTCAGGGCCCTTTGGAAAGGAACACATCATGCCTTCCAACCCTCAAAACTCAAGGTATGCAAGCAGTACCCAGAGATTTTCCATGTGTAAACTAAATCTTTATTTGCTGAGTATGCTAAGAAGTGTTTTACTTGGGGAGTGTTCAATCTGTCGATGACCTCAAGGGTCAAATTTTTAACATCATGCTTTCCTTAGGGGAAACTTGAAATGCCAAACTTAGAAAGGACAGTATGATCTGTGTGGTCATTTACACTTTCCTTCCTTTTTGTCATTTGCAGGCGATTGTGGCCAGTAAAGCTAGTCAGTTCACAGGTTATGCCCAACACGATGCCCAGGAGTTCATGGCTTTTTTGCTGGACGGGCTCCACGAGGACTTGAACCGCATCCAAAATAAACCTTACACAGAGACAGTCGACTCTGATGGGCGGCTGGATGAGGTAGGAGTTCATCTCATCTGTAAAGTATCAAAATATCTAGGGGTGGCAGAGGCTGGCGGGAAATACATTTCAGTTACTGCTGTGAGAAGTGTGCTTACTTTGTACACAGGTGTTTAAGTAGAATCATTTACACTTAAATCATTATGTTACACAGCAAAACGACAAAGTAAAAGACACTTATTTTGTAAAGATTACTACCATTCCTCCTACAGTCTTGTTAAGCCTTGATGATCTGATGATGTCTTTTGTCTGTTGGTGCAGGTTGTGGCGGAGGAGGCATGGCAGAGGCACAAGATGAGAAATGACTCCTTTATAGTGGACCTCTTCCAAGGCCAGTTCAAATCCAAGCTCGTCTGCCCCACGTGTTCCAAGGTAACACATTATTTCTAACACTTAACACTTTCCACATGTTTTACTTTCTTTAAAGGAAATGCTTTAAAATGTTTGCCTTGTTAAAGTGATGACTAATCTACCTCCTTTCACATTCTCTCTTCTTCATCTTCAGGTGTCTATCACCTTCGACCCTTTCCTCTACCTGCCTGTGCCCTTGCCCCAGAAACAAAAGGTGCTCTCCGTTTACTACTTTGCTAAGGAACCTCATAAAAAACCCATCAAGGTAAGATAAAATAACTTATTTCCAGACACCACTTAAATGGTCAAACTACTCACAGCGTCACTTAACAATGTATGTTTATGTGTTTCTCAGTTTTTGGTGAGTGTCAGCAAGGAGAACTCCAGCACGGCTGAAGTCCTCGAATCCATCTCCAGGAGTGTCAGGGTCAAACCAGAGAACCTCAGACTGGCAGAGGTTAGATATTTAACATATTCTGGAAGTGTTTCCCACAGAATGACAGTGTACTCGCACACCGGCTTGCCCCGCTCCGCCTCTTTCTCTTCCTCTCTTCCTGTATCTGTCAGCTCTGTTGACTTGTTCATCAGCAGTATGTTTTATAAAGTGGCCCACGGTTCAGTTTTCACAGCAGCAGGTGAGCCGCTTATGGAGGAGGCTTGCTGTTTATAACGAAACTTATTGAAACCAACATGGTACCGAATGACATTGTCACTAACCATGTGTGTTCACAGTTGCTTTACCTGGTCCGTGCTTGTAAAATATCCACCGTGTCATCATCTCCTAACGTAGAGACCAGTGAACATCTGTCTCTGTCTCTTTGTGTGTTTCATTGCAAAGCGTGTGCAGTAGCAGTAAACCACCCAGAAAAGTTAGAGCGAGGGGAGATTGTCCACTAATTATCAGTCATGGATAAATAAACAACAAGACAAATAAAAATAAAGCTATCATGCCAAAGTCTGTGTGTGGGAAACACTGATTCAGAATTCACACCACGACAGAAATGTATTTCAGAAATGTCTTGATGAAGGACAATGGACTGGACATTATTTTTCCCTCCTCTCAGGTGGGGAAAAAACGTTTCCAACGCGTGTTCCTGCCGTCCCATTCCCTGGACACAGTATCCTCCTCTGACATGTTGTTCTGCTTTGAGGTGCTTTCCAAAGACATGGCCAAAGAGAGAGTGGTATTGCTCAGAGTGCAGCAGGTAATAAAAACCCGAGATTACATTTCTACAGCATGTTAAATATGTCAGTGTTTACAGATGTTGACGGGGCTTTCTTTGCCCTCTGTTTGCCCTACAGAGACTTCAGGTTCCTAATATTGCCATCTCAAAGTGTGCTGCCTGCCTAAAGCCTCCAGTGTCTGAGGAAGACAAGCTGAAGCGGTGCACTCGCTGCTATCGTGTGGGCTACTGCAATCAGTGAGTTCTACTAGCAGTTCCACTAAATTACACATCAAGATTGTTAGAAACAAATTTGTTGGGGGGATTTTCTTCTTAAGTGAACTCCATTAATTTTTATGTAAACATATTAACTTTTATGCCCTTCACTTCCCAGAGTGTGTCAGAAGACCCACTGGCCCAATCACAAGGGTCTGTGTCGACCCAACACAGAGAACGTGGGCCTGCCTTTCCTGGTCAGCGTGCCAGAGTCTCGACTCTCCTATTCCCGCCTCACCCAGCTGCTAGAGGGTTACTCCAGGTACACAGTCAGTTAACTTGCAGTTCTTAGTGCTCATCATATTTGAAATATAACATGGCCCACACATATAATTTCAGGTTTGAATGAATCATAGATACATAATGTGCAAGAACCAGCTGAATGCCTTTATTTATTTTTTTTATTCTGTTTATGCACTGATGGACATTTTAACACACAGCAGAATTCACTATCAAATGTTAAGTTATCAAATTGAAGCGAAAATATCTTTGGATTTGAGCAGGGGTTGGTATCACTCGTCCTCACAAGTGTCGTTAGGCATGACTTTGACGGCAAAAAATGTTTTTACAGTGTATCTGAAAAGTCTTAAATAAAATAAATATAAATTTAAATATATTAAATATTTTGGCTTGCTTGCCAGAGCTATACAATAAGGTTTTTAAGGAAAAGATTCTTTTTTAGGAACACAGTAAAAAATGTTCAAGTAACACAGAGTTTCACAAACTATTTAACCATTAGAGGCCTTAAACATTTGTTGAAGCTTTTGAAAATATTGAAACAGATGTTTTGAAAAATTGACGTTGAAAACAGCTTTTAAAACACTGATCACTCATCACAAAAAACATTACTGTGATTGGTGCCTGTGTAGTTTTTGAACCAGGGACGGATTCATGATACACCAGCAGCACCCAAACAACCCACACCTTATGTAAACAAGACTACTGAACAGAATTAACGCAAAGGCTACGCCGTCCATTCGATGCAGAAGTTTAAATCACACTTTACAATCACTTTAGTAAAACAGAACAAGGGGAACGTGTTGCTCTCAGGAGGAGGCTAGGAGCACATACTGGCACACTGCGCAGTGGAAATCTGCATCTTTCCACTGAAGAAGCTCCTTCCACAACATGGAGGAGAAACTAGTTTAAATGAGTGTATTAGTATTTATATTATTATAATAACATTAGATAAAAAGTTACATTTTAATCTAATAGTTAGTATGTTAATATATTAATGAATTAATTTTAGCATATGCATTGTAATTTTATGTAATAATATGCTATATAGCTCACCACAGGTATAATATTTATTCCGGTTGGACAGCAGTTTCATATTTGTTAGTTTTCATTCATTAAATCCGAAAAATGGCCTACATTGGTCTCTTAATTTGTTAATGCTACTAACGTTATCTCATCAATAATCAGAACCATTCATACAGGAGGAGTTCCACATTTTAAAAGTTTACTGTAGCACCTCAAACTTTTTTTAATGTCCCGCTCCATGCAGGCTGTAATTGGTCAGTTGACGAAAAGTGAAACTGACGAGCACGTCTATTTAATGAAAAGTTGAACATGTTTCAACAAAAAGGCACCTGATATAGCTAAATAGCCAGCTAGCAAAACCTACAACCTCCTTATCTTCTCCCTGCTGTCTTCTGTGTCACCGTAGCCTACGGTAGGTTGTAGTTACTCGCATATTGTGCTCGTAAATCATTTTTCCGGTTCGCACGTGTGGATTTTTAGGGACATATGCGAGCAAAATAGTCTCACTGTAGAGGCCTGCTTGCTGTATTGGTAGTATGTTAGTTCTAAAATGTTTTTGAATATGATTTGGGAGATATTCAGGTCACATTTGTTTAATTAATTATATCATTAGAAATTATTGTTATATCTTGCAGGCAAATGCAAACAAATACTTGTTATCAGTGTTATTCCTGGCTCAAAATGAGACAGAAGTAGTACCAGCCTGATTGTAAACACCGTGCCTTCAACTGGCTCAAGCCAACACTTTTTAAAAGCAACGTATTTTAAGAGACAAATGACAATTATCACGTTTAATGCATATAAAATATGGCCTTTAAAAAAAGATGACCTTTTCAACATAAAAAAATAAAATAACATTAAAAACCAATGTGTTCATTTACACAGTTAACGAACCGTAAGATGATTAAATCAAGTAGAACATCAGCTCTTATTTTGATTTGAAGTTCTTGCTAGAAAAAAGTTTTTAATCATGATGACACTGCTAGATTTGACGTGGGCGGACACCTTGTAATTCTCTATGCTGGAAAAACCTGATTAATAAATAAATCCAGGCCATATGTCTGAATGACAAAAAGCTATTATTTTAACAAATAAATGAATCTGCTAGTGTATATTCAGGAGAGATAAAATGCATGTCAGCTCAATATCGCTGTAAAGAATCACTCGAATGTAAAATGTAGTGAGCTGTAATCTCCTCAATGTCTCTCTGTGCAGGTTTTCTGTCAACGTGTTTCAGCCTCCTTTCCAGTCAGACAGGACATCCCCCGAAACATCCCAGTGCCGGGTTGACCTCCCCACAATGCCACCAGGCTCTCCTGATGGTCTTGGGCCTGGGGAAGAGGCCATGGGTGGTAGCAGTACTGTAGAAGCAGGTGATCCGGAGCTGGAGAGCCACTCTCTGCTGCCTGAATCTCAGGCAGAGTATGCTCAGGCCTCAGCCCTCCACTCTGGGGAGTCAGATTCTCTCTTCTCGTCTCAGACCTCACTCTCCACCACACGGACTTCAGATTCAGGATTCTCTGAGCCAAACTCCTCTACTTCCTGCTGGGCTTCGGACCCTCATGCTGAAAAAGAGACTTCATGTGAGAAGGCAGTACGGCCAGAAGGTAATAACAAAGCTATTAAGGGTCACGTGCTACAGTATTTCTGTGATTTATTTTTATTTGTTTCTACATCTTCATTCTTGCCATTTATTTTGCAGCGGCAGTAACAGGGTATCAGCATCCAAGTGAATCGGCGTCAGGCCATGCCAGTCAGTTCTACATAGCTTATCTGGACTCTAACAACAAGGAACAGAGGCTGGATGAGAAAGGTACGACCAAAAAGAAAAGCCAGTCCTCTTCTCATATTTGGTCCATTGCATGTTTATATTTAATGTTCAGTTTTTGTTGAGACTGGCAGTGAAGTTGATTTACTGTACCTCTATAGTAACATTTAAGTATGTTAAGTAATAGTTTGTGGTTAACTAAGTTGTAAGGTGTCATGAGTTTTTCTCATGTCTTGACAGGCTGAAAACTTACTTGTACTGTACAGTTACCCAAGATTGTACTAGAAACAATAATAACAATAATAATCTTCTTTAAAACCAAATATTATTGCGACTTGGCCTTGACAGATAACATGGAAAGTGTAAGCCAAGAGTGTGAAACATTGTCACTGTTTCTGCACCACAGTCCATTAGAAACCACATAATAGATAAAGTTCATACAAACATTGACATGGGAAACATTTAATTTCTCTGTGATTATGTATCCTCGCCAAAACTACCCGCCAGCAATAATATCTGGTCCGTGGCCAGATTATGGTGCTTTGATAGCGGCAAACAAAATTAAAAAATAAATTCTTTGAGAGCGGTGCTGAAATAGATCTCAGTTATGACAGCAACAGTTACTCACATAATCACTTAATGCAAAATAAAAGTGTGAGAATTTTTTTTGCCCCCATGCTTTATTTCAAGTAGAGCTTTTACTTTGACAATTTCTAAACAACATTAAAAAAGAGTCCGTAGCATGCACAGTAACTTGTGTTATTTGCATAGTACAAAATATTTAAAAACAAATACCAAAACTAAAACACTGTCAGTGCATTAGGGCTTTTTCACTTCCAAGACCCAATCAGAAAGCCAGATGCGAGTGTCTGTGTATCATTTCTAAAGTCCTCTGTTATCGCCTGTCCGCAATAAAATGCTATCCCGGAGTTTTAAAACAAAAAACATGTGAGACGTAGTTTCTTTGTGTCCAAGCAGAGTAAAACAGCTCCTGTAATCCCAGAGTGGGTGATCAGCATCTAAAAAGGCAGGGTTGGGGATAGTACCAGATCTTAATAACGGAACAGCTTTTCACAGCTTGGTAATCAGCTGAGGCAAAAAGAGAGGCTGTGTTTACTAACTGATGGACAGTCCTGAAAATAAATCTGGGGTATACATAGTCCAACAGATCAGAATCTTTTTTTCTTCACCCCCAACCCCTCTGCAGAGGATGTGCTGGCGGACCTCCCCGAAGACTCACTCCTGGAGCTGGTGTGGAAAAACAACGAGCGTTTGAAGGAGTACGTCCTGGTGAGCTCCAAGGAACTGGAGTATGAGGAGGACCCCGGCTCTCTGAGTGAGACGGCCAGAGCAGGACACTTCACGCTGGAGCAGTGCCTCAACCTCTTCACAAAGCCAGAGGTGCTGGCACCAGAGGAGGCATGGTAGGGATCTTTATTTTGTGACTGCATAATCTAATGTTGTCTCTCTCCTGTCTCTTTAGTTTTGGTTTCTCTCTTGTTTTCCACTGTCCCAGGTTGTCTCTACATTGTGGAGCATTATATTAAAACTGTGGAGCATTGTCTCTTTGTTTTCCAGTTTGACTTATCACATACCAATAGCAGTTGGACTCTCTCTAATAATAACACAAAAACTTGTGACAAAATGACTTTAGTGCACTTCTTCACTTATGAGACACAGTATGAATCCATGATAAGAAATATCCCTGAAATAGAAACTGGTGACATGTGGTAGCTGGCAGTCATTCCTGATGGGTGACAATAACTGAAGTGACTAATGTTCATTTGAAGCTACCAATTATGTTTAATAATTAATTAATCTGCCAACTAATGTTTTAATTAGTTATGTAGTCGTAAAAAAATATTTAATAATTTCCCAGAACTCGAGGTGATGTCTTGAAATTGCTTGTTTTGAATGACCAACACGCCAAAACATAAAGATATTAAGTAGGTAGGTTTATTGTCACAACATAACAAGTTATAGAGAGAAATTGTGTTTTGTAACTCCTTTCTGCTGCATAGCAGGCAATATAAATGAATTATATATATATATATAGATATACAGTGGGTACGGAAAGTATTCAGACCCCTTTAAATTTTTCACTCTTTGTTTCATTGCAGCCATTTTCCAAAAATCAAAAAGTTAATTTTATTTCTCAGTAATGTACACTCAGCACTCCATCTTGACAGAAAAAAAACAGAAATGTAGAAATTTTTGCAAATTTATTAAAAAAGAAAAACTGAAATATCACATGGTCATAAGTATTCAGACCCTTTGCCCTTTACACTCATATTTAACTCAGGTGCTGTCTATTTCTTCTGATCATCCTTGAGATGGTTCTACACCTTCATTTGAGTCCAGCTGTGTTTGATTATACTGATTGGACTTGATTAGGAAAGCCACACACCTGTCTATATAAGACCTTACAGCTCACAGTGCATGTCAGAGCAAATGAGAATCATGAGGTCAAAGGAACTGCCTGAAGAGCTCAGAGACAAAATTGTGGCAAGGCACAGATCTGGCCAAGGTTACAAAAAAATTTCTGCTGCACTTAAGGTTCCTAAGAGCACAGTGGCCTCCATAATCCTCAAATGGAAGACGTTTGGGACGACCAGAACCCTTCCTAGAGCTGGCCGTCCGGCCAAACTGAGCTATCGGGGGAGAAGAGCCTTGGTGAGAGAGGTAAAGAAGAACCCAAAGGTCACTGTGGCTGAGCTCCAGAGATGCAGTCGGGAGATGGGAGAAAGTTGTAGTAAGTCAACCATCACTGCAGCAATCCACCAGTCGGGGCTTTATGGCAGAGTGGCCCGACGGAAGCCTCTCCTCAGTGCAAGACACATGAAAGCCCGCATGGAGTTTGCTAAACAACACCTGAAGGACTCCAAGATGGTGATAAATAAGATCCTCTGGTCTGATGAGACCAAGATAGAACTTTTTGGCCTTAATTCTAAGCGGTATGTGTGGAGAAAACCAGGCACTGCTCATCACCTGTCCAATACAGTCTCAACAGTGAAGCAGGGTGGTGGCAGCATCATGCTGTGGGGTGTTTTTCAGCTGCAGGGACAGGACGACTGGTTGCAATCGAGGGAAAGATGAATGCGGCCAAGTACAGGGATATCCTGGACGAAAACCTTTTCCAGAGTGCTCTGGACCTCAGACTGGGCCGAAGGTTTACCTTCCAACAAGACAATGACCCTAAGCACACCGCTAAAATAACGAAGGAGTGGCTTCACAACAACTCCGTGGCTGTTCTTGAATGGCCCAGCCAGAGCCCTGACTTAAACCCAATTGAGCATCTCTGGAGAGACCTGAAAATGGCTGTCCACCAACGTTTACCATCCAACCTGACAGAACTGGAGAGGATCTGCAAGGAGGAATGGCAGAGGATACCCAAATCCAGATGTGAAAAACTTGTTGCATCTTTCCCAAAACGACTCATGGCTGTATTAGATCAAAAGGGTGCTTCTACTAAATACTGAGCAAAGGGTCTGAATACTTATGACCATGTGATATTTCAGTTTTTCTTTTTTAATAAATTTGCAAAAATTTCTACATTTCTGTTTTTTTCTGTCAAGATGGGGTGCTGAGTGTACATTACTGAGAAATAAAATGAACTTTTTTGATTTTTGGAAAATAGCTGCAATGAAACAAAGAGTGAAAATTTAAAGGGGTCTGAATACTTTCCGTACCCACTGTATATAGATATATAGATAGATAGAGATAGAGATATAGAGATAGAGATAGAGATATAGATAGAGATATAGAGATAGAGATATAGAGATATATAGAGATAGATATAGAGATATAGATATATATATATATCTATATATATATATGTTTAGGTTTAGGTAAATCTGCATGAAAAAGCTACTTCTTTTTTTGCCAACAGTCTGCACGCTTGCAGCTGAAGAATGCCCATAAGGTTTTCATCTCTTTCACTAACAGCTGTCCACTTACTGCTGGACAGAGTCTCGCTCTTGTTTTGTTACACATTTGAATTTGTCTCCGTCACAACCGGCAAACTTGCCGAAATCCTCCTCCTCCAACATGACTCTCACCCACAGGGCCCTTGGCTAGAGGGTCAGCAGTCGCATCATAATCTGGGTCTGAATCTTCTAATTCATTGTTGTTATCGTCCTCAAAGTAACAGCTGTAATTGGCCTAAATGTCGTTCCACTTGCTCAGCTCAGCGATTAGGCCATCACTGTCTGAAGCGCAGCTTTGGAAACTTGCGGCCCACACAGAGGAAACATTTGAGAATACAAATCACATAATGCATTTCATCAGTCACGTGTCTTAAAACCAATGACATCTACTAAAACGCCTACATGTAGCAGCCTGCCTTAAAGGTAGAAGTGTGCAGACGTTGAATTCGGTCTCAATGGTTTTGTGATTTACATTTCATTCTGAAAATATGATGTACTTCTACTTTGTAGAAATGATTTGGTTGCTGGTTCCAGTAGTTCTATGACAAATCAGCGAACCTCAAAGAAGTTAACATATTCATTGTTATTTTTTTCTTTTTAGGTTGTAGGTTTATTGCAGATAAGAGGAGCTAGACTAGGAGACACTTTAAAACTTGTGAATGAGGCACAAAAGGATTTACTGAGAATGGTTTGTTGCACACACAGATCCCCACAGCCATTATGGTCCAAGGCTGAGGCAGATCCTGGCAGTGTTTAATTCAAGGGCGGTCCAAGCATACAACGAAACATGTAATATTAAACCACCTGTTAAAGCCGTATTCAGCGATGGCCATGGTTCTGGTTGCCACAAGTCAGGACACCTTATGTTCTGCATTTCGTTTTGTTATACCTGCTTACAGGTGTGGTTATACTGACTGACGTCTTTCATTACTTTAAGCAGGGCAGTGTAGAACAGTGAGCCTATATCAAGGCTATGTCTGTTTTTAAGGTACTGTCCAAAGTGCCAGCAGCACCGAGAGGCCTCCAAGCAACTGCTGCTGTGGCGTCTGCCCAACGTTTTGATCATCCAGCTCAAACGCTTCTCGTTCAGGAGCTTCATCTGGAGGGACAAGATCAATGACATGGTTGACTTTCCGTCAGGTAAATGCAGTAAAAAGTT